GCATTAGGATAGAGGCCTGATTTAAGGAAAACTGCACAAATCCAGCATTTTTATTCAGAGAATTCATCAGTGCATATACTAGAAATCTTGCGTTTACTTTTTTTCTTCAATCTGCTCTGAGTATATTTAGCAAACTGACAGACTGCTTCTGTTCAGCAGGTATTGCACTTCCATGATATTTAGATATCTCAGGAGGCAGAACAATGTTTAGATAGACTACAAGTCCGCCCACATGAATTTCAGCCCTATAGAAGCTAAAATAGGGCTCCTCATGAGGATACCAGAAGTTACATCTTTATCTTTAAACAGCTAATTTTTTTCCAAAACCTAGGCAACATCTGCTGAGACCTGAGAACTAGCAGAAGTCAAGCGCTGCACCTATTTTCCTCTTACACCGAACTAAAAAATTCTGGTTTACTGATGGAAGTAAAGAAAGAGGGTTTATCAAGAGAGACCATCTTCCTTTCTCAAATCAGTGTTACAAACATGGTTGGCCTAAGACAGCTCAGAGTGACTAAAATATTCTTTGCATCTCAAGCTCAGTAAACTCAATAGTGGGGAAAAAAAAAAAACAAAAAGCTAATCGTTCTTCAGAAGAGCTACTGGAAGAAGTTACATTTGCAAAGGTGTAAAAACCTGCATTTCCTTCGCAGAAAGACAAGCTGTGAAGCTGCAGTACAGCATCAGAGCATGTAAAAATGTGTATATATCTGCCTCTAACATAGCCAAAGCTGTTTGACTCTGCATGATTATTTCATATCACATTTTATATTTATTTTACAGCATTGACCTCCACTGTTCTTTCAGAGTTTTAATTAGACTTAACAGAAGTTACTCAGATCAGAAATCTGACTAAAGTTTGAGCTGATCCATCTTCCCCTTGCAGAACTGAGGCAGAATCTGGAGGTCACACCAATGAAATGTATGTGAGCCTCTGGCTTTGAGACTGAAAAGATGTTTTTGCAAGAGCAGAGTGCTTGCTAAGGAAGTATGAGTCAGGGAGTGCCAGCATGGGCAACAGGCACCCTCCGGTAGCTGTGACCCCACAGATGGCCAGAAGCCACCAGGCCATTCCAGCCATGGCAGAAAGATATAAGACACCAAAGGCTACACATTCCCTGCAAGCAGCATGAAGTGGGCCAGCTGGCACAACTGTCCCACTGGTGGAGAAGCTGATACACATCTCATCTTTCTTTTCCATTAGGCCACAGGCACTTCACACACAAGAAAGCTGATGAAAACCAGAACTCATTGAGAGTAGAATTTGTTATCTTCTGACAAAAGTTCCTTCCTTGTTAATGGTTCTTCTGCAAAGGCTGAAACACAGCCATATTCCAGGCTTAAGTGCATCTTGCCATTGCATTTGGCCTTTGCCCAGCCTGGAAGACGCAGTTGTTAGTGACACTTCCTGTTCGAAAACTGTTGTAAAAAAAAAATGGGTACAATTTGGAAATAAGCCACTTCTTTCACTATGCCACTTCATGCTAAGAAGGGAGAGCATACCACATTCACTGCTCCTCTACAAAGGGAGGTTTTCATTATTTAATCTCTGCCATTTGGGCTGTTTTCTTAGTGCTCCACACTACTGTGTTGCTCACTCATGACAGCACCTTCTTGTTCAGTTCTTTTACCAAGTGTCAAAAAAATTGCTGTGGCTTTAATATGAAGTCCTCAAGTTGTGACTGCTACCAGCTTGCTTCTGCTTTGACTGCCCAGGCCCAAGAGCTTGTTCCAGACTGGCTTTCTTAGGCTAATCCCACCCTTCATGGCATTGAAAACACTTTCCTCCAGCATAGTTTTGCAAAATAAGCCATGGCAAGTACTGCGTATTTCCAGCAGCTGCAGCTGGTGTCCAAGGTGCTTGATGGAGCTAGTAACACAGAGCTCCGCTGATGGACAGCTTGATCCTGTGCCCCAGCAGGTTTGTTTGCTTACAGCATCCAGGAAGTACAGTCAACTCAGGAGCAATTCAAGCTTCGAGGGCTAGACAATTCCTCTGATACAACCCCATAGCAACCTACCCTCACCTGGAATAAACTCCGCTCCACCCTGCACTTAAGTCCATCCATGACCCGTCTCTCTTGTTGCTGTGACACAGAGCACAAAGACCCAGATGCAAAAGCATCTCAAGAACACGTGGTCTCTTGCAGGAGTTGGTATCACAGCAAGAGGAGCCTCTGACCTAGGAGGGGACACGGTCACAAAAAGCATCTGGGAACATACTGCAAGAGCATACTTCAAACAGTGTCACTCCTGAGAGAAATGTGACATGTATGGCCAGGCTAAAAGTATCAGACCAGAAGTTATCATTGCTCTGAAACAGTTTTTTTCATCCCACTGAAGCATGCTATATCTACCCCCACCACTCAGCCTCATCCCAATGCAAATAGGAGAAAAAGACTGGAAATAATCTCTGCTACCATAGGCCCCAGAACACAGAAATTCTCCCAGAATGAGATTTAAATATTAAGACACAAACTGCTCAAGATTTACCTTGGTCTGGCTGCATCCTCGATGCTTCATACACAGATGGCTTGGAGGAGCTGTTTGATCACCAATAAGCCTAACCAGAACCTTCAGAGAGAATGAAGTCTGGCTGGACATCCTTGGAACATGCCTCTCTCAACTATTCCAATATGGTCTGCAAGCCACAGTGAGGAGGTCCCACTAGACTCACTGCTGCTCTCACTGCCACAGGGCCAGCATGTAGTGGGATGCTTCAGTGTGTGACTGGCTGACCTTCAACCTTTGGCCAGCCATGGGCTTCCCCAACCTCAGGTAGATCACAGCAGTATAGCAGATTGCTACCAGGTACCCCAAAGACCCATCTACCATTATGCACCAGATGTTGACTCCTCTCTCCCTTCCTTTTATTTCTTTCACTCTATCTAGTGTAGCCAAGACTGCTTTCACACAAACCCAAGTCACTTGCTCACTCAGAACCCTTACAACAGAGGAACTCCAAAAAACAAAATGAGGAGTGACTTAAACACCCATTATAGCTCCCAGGCCTGCCAGCCTGTATCTCTACAGAGCAGAAATCATTTCAGGCCACCACCCATGCCGCACACAAGTACTATTCACAGCCATAGCCAAAGGATCCTTCCTGCATGCTGGCAGCCACAATTCCAGTTGCCACAGCCACCAGCCTCAGTACTGGAGCTCCTGGCACTTGGACCAGGAGCATATTCATCAAGATAAGCATTTGCCTGCATAGACGCTCTGTGGCACCAGCCACAACCCTCCCAAAGACAGCTGCCTCTTCATCCCACGGGAATCAAAGCCCAAACTGTCTCTTAATTCCAAACTGCAAAACCAAAGGCAAAACTTTCCTGGAAATGTGGGCAATAGAAGGACCATTCCTGGGACAATGTAGGAAAGGGAAACACTCTGAACTACACCCACGTCTTCTAGCCACCCAGTTTGACAACAGCAAAGAAATTGTTGCTCCCCTAGTTTCAGCAGCCTTCCAGGAAGGAAGAGGAAGATAAGGTATCAGCTGTGTTCGTGAGGATCCTCAATGCCATTCCTGCCAACCTGATCATTTAGGAATGGCGACAGTAAGCCAGGTAATCTGCTTGGCACCAGCAGCACAAGAGGACCTCCTTCACTCAGGCAAGTGGTACAAGAATTTTCTTTCTTTATCTATCAAGAAGTCCTGATTTTATTTTACTTTTTTTTTTTTTTTTTATGTCAAGTTTAGAAGAGAGCAATGCATAGCATACTTGGAATTGTTTTCAACTTCACCACTACCACAGAGGAATTTCTTACACTCTTTTCTATAGCAAACCAACGCTATAATTGAACAGAGGTATTTGCATAGGGATTCCTACCTGGTTTTGCCTCACCTCCTCTCATACCAAAGGCATACTCCCAAACCACCCACTGCACACCAAATTCCCAGTCTGTAAAACTAAGAGAGCTAGGTCAGACATACAACTAGTGTTAAAATGGCAACATCTGCTAATGCACATCAACTGAGGATATGACTGATGAAAAAGCTCTTAGAATAAAAGCGATTTCTTACTACCAGCTAAACCAGAATGGCTTGGATGACTATCAGCAGTATATTACAACTGTTTCCAACTCTGGGTATGCAGCAACCATCTTCATTAGAAATATTGTATTTGACTTTCTCTCCCTGTTTTAATGGCCCTTTAATGATTTTGATGGTGACTGAAGCTGCAAAAGCAGTTACCTATTACACACCCAAATCGCTTCAACAGCACATAAATGTGCTCTGCTTGACAATGTACTCACCGGCACCCTGTGGGAGCCCCATTATGTTGTTTATGGCATCAAAATAATGCGCCTGCATGAGAAGTTAGCATCTTCAGCGAGCTTGTGTAAAGTTCAAGATCATTACAACTCCACATGCTCACACTGAGAAGCACAGCTCCAGCACACTGCAGCAAGGCTTAAGATAACAACACCTTGTGAGGATGTTTGTGCAAGAGTGTATCTGTCCAAGTTCCGTGCTGTAAAACTTTGTATCTTCGGTGAATTTGCCTGAACCCTTGTTTTACTCAAAAAGCACAATGGTACTAACTTGCTGGGTTTTGCACTAAATCTTCTTTAATTCAAGAATTTGGCATGATTAGAAGAGCCTATCAGTGCAGCAAGAGGGCCTATTTGTTATACTGACAAGTTACACGGAGATAGAAGCAAAATCAACCGTTCAGGATGCAGACTAAGGGTCCCAGCCACGGGACGGAGTCCCAGCGCTGCCTCCCTGGGGCGGCTGCTGCGGCTGGGGATCTGGCAGCAGTGAGAGCAGGCGGGCTCTGAGATTTTGCTCCTTAGGGGAATGTGAGAAGAGAGGGAAGAAAAAAAAAAAAAAAGAAAAAAAAAAAAAAAAAAAAAAAAGAATAAATGGTGAAACGAAGAGGAGGAAGAGGGTGAAAAGAGGAGAAAACGACAAGTAGACGAAAGGGAAGAGGTGCCCCCGACGGGCGGGCGGTCGGCCCCCGCCCCGCTCCCGCTCCGCACGCCGCCCTTACCGCTCGGCCGGCTCCGTCCATCTCCCATCGCCGGCCACGTCGGATCGCAGCCGCCCTCCCACGAGGCAGCGCCGCGCCGTGGAGCCCAGCCGGCCGCAGCGCCGGCGGCGGAGCCGGGCAGCGCGGCCGCGGGCGGCCCCTGTACGGTGGGCGCGGCGGGAGC